TTGTGCCTCTCAGGGGACCAATATACAACAGTTCGACACCCTAAATGGAGTTACCCACACAGTTGACAACACTGGATTAGTTTTGATTACAGAATAAAACAAGTATGTTTAACTACAAAGAGGTTTTAAGTGAGTACAAGTATAGGGTATTAAAGTCAGAAATGGTTACAAGAGAAATAAAGATAAAACGCTTCCTAGCACTAAAACTTAACAAGCTAGGCTTGGTTCAAGATAAAATTCTTGGTTGCTCCTAGCAACAGGTCTGAGCAAATTTCAGGTCAGAATCTCTCCTAAAGTCAAATGGGCTTGTCTCTTTTGTCTTCATAGGTGAAAGAGCAAGAAATGGATAGGGAGACATAACTTGGGGTCTTTTTGCTCTTCACTTTTATAGTTCAGTCACCCTTTGAAATTCATTTTCCTGCGGTTTACTCCTAAAGTAAATTCCTGCTGTGAGGTTGGAGTCAAGGAGTCTGGTGGTGGAAGAGGTTCCAGACTCACCAGTGAGTTGTTAGTTTTTAAATGATACCTCACAAGGCATATTTTGTACAAAGATTGTTACAATGGTGTGTAGAGTGTGAAAGCAGAGATTCATTCGGTCACACTTTCCTACCTCTGTGATCTGCCAAATGTGGCTAGACCTCCTATCCCTACCCCATGAGGCCTGCTTTATTTTAGGTCAGAAATTAACATTACCTCAAAGAACTGTCATGCTTGTCATTACCTGACGATGGAATTTCATGCAGCTCATATCTATTTATCTATTCCTTCCTCCCACAAAAACTCTTCCCTCCCCCCACTGCAGACTTACCTCAGAGCCACCTTGGAAATCTCTATCCTTTGACTGAGACAGTTGATGGCTAACTTTACATGATGCCACTCTGCACTTTATGCCAGTTCCTGCTTGCCCTGGCCTGTCTGCTTGACACACTGTCTGCCACCTGCCCTGCTGGTTCCCAGCCTGAAGAACTGACAGAATATAAAACTGGTTTAAATTAAAATAAGGTTTTTTTGTTTTTGTTTTTTTTAAGAAAAGAACTTCACAAGCATTTTTCACAAATTTGAAATACTTAATATTGCACAAAAATATTTCATTAAAAGTTGAAATCTGAAAGATTTTGACCAGTTTTAGTAGAAGAGGGGGTGGGGCATATCTGCAGGGTGCTGTTCTGAGCATGGGGAGAAGAGGTAGGGTCAGTTGAAACTCACTGCAGCAGCTTCTTCCAGCTACAAGATAACACACCTACAGTACAGTGTACCCTAGAAGTCTCCCCAAAGCCCTAATTAAAATCCTCCAAAATGAGATTGACACAAATATATTAAACACTAGGGGCTTAGTCAGCATCCTAAAGTTAACCCAACCTTCCTGGAAACTGGTTTGAGCGAAATTATGGTAACAATTGTATGAATTCCAGCATGTTAATTTCATTTCCTAGCTGAGTTCATTTCAGTGCTAATAGCATTAACACAGTGAGCTAAAACACAAGCATGGAACTGGAGTTGGGGATTTTCCAATTGCATTCTCACTATTAACATGCACTACCAGTGTGCTTAGCATTATATAACAAAGAAAGACAGCCCTTATTTCCATGAGCTTATAGTCTATAACAGGTATGAGAAGGCACACTGGGAGACGATAAGATGATCTTATTAAGGGACTTTCCCAGTTATTTGTGTGTAGGGAGACTAGAGCTAGGTGGAAGAAAAATTCCAGTTAAATGACTACTTGTTTTGAAACTTAAGCTAACTAGACTGAAAAAGGCTCACAAAAAGATGAAAAAAAAGCCAAAATGTTTTGATTAGTTCAAAATAAATATTTTATTCCCTTTTTTGGTTTGTGAAAATTTGAGATTTTGACCTTTTGTCTTGATTTGGGATTGTAACATTCATGAGGCAGGAAAACAGTTTCCCACCTAGCTCTGGTGGGACACTCTCCCCTCTCCGTACTCCTTGTCCCCCTCTTTCATCAAGAGATCTGTTTCTTGACTCTTTTTTAAAAAACTTTTCCATCAGGAAAACTATTACTTCCTTTCTACAGGAAGCCATTATAATTAATGCATCAATGCCATTCTGATGCCTTCTATCTATGAATGATAAACAGGCAGACCACAGGTCTACGGACATGTGATTTATTCACTAATATATTGTGTGACCTTAGACGTTCAATCACTCTGTTGCTCTATGTATAAAGAGGGGATATTACCCACTTTTGTAAAGAGCTTTGAGACCCTCAGATAAAAGAAGCCAGAGAGGTACAAAGTCTGTGATTTACCTGATCATCTGATACATGTCATCTTCATTTTGAGACCTGTTTCCTTTTCACCACCACAGGAATCTCAGAGTTAAATCATTGCTGTCTTCTGTCCAACTTCAAACTGGTGTGAAATATTTTCGTGGAAAACCAACTGCATTTATGCATACTGCAATCCTGTAACTTCCAGTGATATATCTGCACAAATGTCAAAAACAGTGGCACATATTGCCAATTTTGTGTGGTTTTCCAATTTCCCTGGTATTACTGACAATACAAGGCCAAATCCTGCTAGCCTTATTCACAGAAGTAATACTGTTGATTTCAATGGGACTGCTTATGTGAGTAAACTGATCAGGATTTGAGCAAGCTGGGAATCATCTTTGCTTCCTCTCTCTTCTCCTCATTTAGTCTGTGGCTGAACCCTATTTCTTCTCCCTCCACAACATCTCAAAAATCCGCCCCTTCCTTTGTAGCCTGAGGGCCAAATCCATAACCTAGTAATTTTCTGCCTTAACTACTGTAATCTCTACTAAGGTTCTGTTGTAGTTAAAATTAGAAATCGACCTAAAGCTGGCGCAGTGCTGTGGCTGGTGAAACAAATAATGTACTAATATCTTGGGATGCTAGTTTAGGAACAATCTGATTTTCACACTTGAACATAGGTGAGGTCTCAAGGTACAACACAGTCAAGAGGCTAAAGTAGTTCTTCACTACAGCATCACCAAAAAGTTGTAATTGTAATACTAAAAACTGATATTTGCCCAAAAGATTAAGTAAAAACGGCTCAGAATGAAGGAGGTCATCCTAATGTTAGCCTTTGATCGAGTCAATATTTCAAGTACCTTCTGCTTCAAAGTGCTGTCAGGCCCCTTGAAATATTCTGTTCATTGGTCATAACCAGATGTCTAAAGCTCCATGATATAAACAACAACATAATCCTGAGACAAAATTATTCCAAAATTGTGATCAGTACAGTATATGCTCTGTAGCTTTAAGAGAATTACTCACTGGCTTGAATTTTAGGCAAAAAACTATACTTTCACTTCTCCTCCCTTTACAAAGTCCTTTTTGTCATTCTATAAACCTTTACATATTTATTTATTTATTTTATTTGGTGGTCAGAATAAATTTTGTATACAATCCAAAATGTCCTTATCAAAATAAAACCTTTTTCCTAATGCCTTGGTTGTACCCTATTGGATCCCTGACCACTTTAACAAAGTTGGAAAACTGACCCTCAACTGGACAAGACAAGGAAACAAACCAAGATTTCAGGAAAAAATGTTTTGCTGTTTCTCAGAAAGTCATTTTATTAGTGAAGATTTTAATCAAGAAACTTTGGTTAGCATGCAGAATCTTGCATGGTTCAACATGTGCCAAGAAAAACTAGAGGGGAAAAAAAAGCCCTTGAGACATATTCCAGGCAATACAAAGTTTAATCCTGATGACTGGATTGTAACTGAAGTGCAGTTATTTTTTGTGGGAAGTTCCATTTCACTCAAATGGAGCTTGAGATTCTACAATACAGAAATTGTTTCATCATAAATTACCAAGATGATGTCTGGCGCTCGGCTGTAAAAAGTCCAGTGTTTCACTAAAAGTCTATAGTTAGAGTAATTCTTTTTTTAGTTGAAGGTTTTTACAAGGAACTATGTTATCTTAAATCAATTTTCATATGATTACGTTTGTTCCTTTCCCTGAGAAACCTATTATCTTCCCACAAAAAGGAAAAAGGGTTTTTTTTTTCTTTTAAATTTTCCCTCCAACACCATCATTATTCAGAATTTTTAGAAGAAAAAAAAATAGTACTTTGTATTTGTCTAGTGCTTTCCATCTAAAAAAAATCAAAATGCCATAGAAACATTTAATTATGTGTCTCATTTGTGAGGTTAGTTATGTATAGTTATCCCCATTTGCGGATGGGAAACTAAGACCTAGAAGTTAAGACTAAAATGATTAAACTTGTGTACCTTAAATCGGGCTTCTAAATCCATATTGAGACAACCTGATAAATGACAAGAACTGGAAGGATTAGGTCCTTAAAGATAATAAGAAAAACAGCGTGTGTCTTTGCACAATTATAGAACTATTTCAAGGGGGAAAAACTCACCCTCAGGCTGTAAAAGCATGAAATGCTGCGTGTATATTTCACTGTACTTATTGTTCTTTTTGCTGGCTGTTTTCTTCCCCATAGTTTTTACAGGCATTATTGGTATTCTCCATTAAGTGACTCACCAATTTCTCCCTTATAAGGAAATACAGTGTGTTTTAATGTCACGTCAGAAAATGTTTATATTCAGGCATGCCAAAGGGCTTGGTTCCAATTGTAAACAGATATCTCTGGTACTGGGGAAAAGAAAGCCATGTCCCTAGAGCTATTTATTGAAAGTTTATTTTTCCTTCCCTTATCTTTGCCAGTTCCTCACCCAGGGGAGAATCAACCAGTAAAGGAAGGGATTGCAATTTACATACCACACTAAACAAAGCCCTATCCTGTCTCATACATTAGTCACAGACAGCATGCTTGAGACATTCTGGGAAGCCCCTGTATAGAAGGCAAAAAAGGTTTAAATCAGAGTTCCATCACCTATATCTTACTCCGTGTTGCTTCCACACACGCACAACTAGTTGGGAACATTATCTGTGAAGTTTTTGAGACACATGTTTTAATAGAACTTCCCCCCCCCGCCCCTTCGGACAACCCCACCTGGTTAAAGTACATATTTTATTTGCTTGCCTTCTTTTAAAGACCTGCAGTAAAACAGACATCCAAAGCCTCTTTCAACTGCCACAGACAGGCATGAATGGCTCGGAAACTTCAGCAGACCAGTTACAGGTAAGTGAGCATTTCTGATGGGGAGCAGTATCAGTGGCATGTTGTTTAATTAATGGAAATGTGCAAACTAATTAGACATTTAGAGCTATCACTTTGTGGATGGGTCATTATAGGCTTGTGTGGTAAAATAGTCTTGTCAGAATGAATGTATTCTGTTTTAATGTACGAAGGTGATATTGGAATGCTATAGATCTTTTAGAAACTTTTTTTAATCTTTAATTTTTTTCTTTAAGAAGCTGATCCATGGCGTGGCCAATTGCCATGGTAACAAGGCAGCTTCTTGAGGCACTGTTAGCTATACCAAGATTTGAGCCACAGGCACCGGAGCATTCTTTGAATTTACTAGCATTGTATTTCTCTACTGGAAAGTGTGAGCTGTGACATTTAAAACTAATCACAATTTGTCCTTAAAGCTGTATATATTTATCAATTGAATAAAAAAGAATATGCAAAATGTATTTGGTAGATTTTGAGAATTCTGTATTAGGCTGTGCTTCACTTGCCTGGGCTGACAAGCTGTGCCAGCTCAGCAGTGCACGCAGTATGGTCACAGCAGCTGGCAGGAGTGGGAAACTCCACCACCAGTCGGTCGACTCCATGGGCAGGAGGCAGCCAGAGATAGATCGCGGGCATGGGGAGTGGGAAGCTCCCCCTAGGCCAAGCTCCAAGGATGAGGCAGTGGCACTGACACAGGTTGGGGAGGAGCAGCAAGGGATTGGGTCACAGAAGGGTGAGCAGGATTGGGGGGTAATTAGTCCTGGCAGCTCTGCAGAGGAAACAAGGTAAAGAAAATGGAATCTGGGCAGCAGCTAGACCCTTGCAATCCGACTGGAACCTGATAGGGTCTGACTACAAGTGTCGGGATTGGGTCAGGAATGAAAACAACTTGACATGCTTGGACTTGAGTTCAGGTTGGCTGTGGTCTAGTCGGATACAGATCAGGCTTTAAAATTAGGTCCTAGCAGACCTCTAATTGACAGTGCAGTTTTGGTCTGAAAACCAGGCTACTGACTGGATATTTGGTGGGGGAGGAATTAAAAACAACACTTTCAATGACCAAGCATTTGACATGGCCAATGTGGTTTTCTGTGTCATGTATATTTATTCCAATTACAATTCTGTTTCTACATGCAGCTAGTGTGCATCATGGTTTGTTATGAGAACCTGTGATAGCTTCTTGGAAATTATGATCTATTGGGCTAATAATATAAAAATGAGGATTTGCCTGAAACCATACTGGCTACAAATGACCTATGAAGTATATTTTGAACCCATTATGGGTCTAATTATGGGCTCACTCCTGCAAACACTTACTGCTGGGAATAATGCTTCCTGTACTAATGCCCATGAATGAATGGGACTATTCATGCCTGCTAGCATGCCTAGTGGTAAGTGTATGAAGCACAGCACCTTTATTAGTTGTGAGGCAGGCAAACAATACTTTAATACACAGTATCTTTAAAATAAAAAGCAAAATATGAATGTAGAAAGCTGAAGAAAATCATTAGACTTTTGCTGGCTTTTGCAAACTGCTTTTTTAAAGAATTGCCCCATAACACAATATGATACACAATGGGCTAAAATCTCAGTTGGTTTATATTGGCATAGCTCCATTGACTTCAGTTGGCCACAATTCTCATTTCCACCACAGAGTAAGCAAGTGAGTGTAAATTACATTTTTGTTCAATTTAAGGCCTTTTTGCCTTGCCAGGGAGATTTAAAGGACAGTAGTGTAAATCTAGCACTTAAATAGAAATTTCCCTCTTCAAATTGCTTTATAAACATTAATATAATTGACATGTAAGGTAGATAAGTGCTCTATAGGATAATACTGAATTTGGGGGTATTATTTAGAAGGATTTATTTTAAATATTGTTTTTTCTCTCCTTTGAAAGTGTACGTTACTGACAAAAAAGAAGAAGATACCAACAGATACCCTTGAACAACAGATCAGAATACTGGAAAGACAGAGACAAGAGGTAACTGATTATACTATTGTGAAATTATAATTTTTGGTCTTCCAGAGCAGGAAATCATAGGGCTCAAATTGTTACTGTTGCTCACACTGATTAATATTTACTTCTCTAGCAGTTCCTCTTCAGTCAGTGGCAGAATCAGGGCCATGATTTTCTTGTGGAATGCTAGTCCTACATTCTGGAACCAAAATATTCTTGCCTCACAGTTTGTCTTGAAATAAGGTCCCAATCCTTCAAACACTTATGCATATACTTAACTTTATGCATGTGACTAAAGCCATTGGCATGTTTCACATACATAAAGTTAAGCAAGAACATACATGTTTGCAGAATTGGGGCTGAAAACACACTAATAATGTGCTGATATAAGGTGGCGTAGCCAAGCTGAAGGTTAATGATTTCTTGAACCCTGAGTAGGGATTTATAAGACATTAGTGCAAACTTTATTAATGCTCATAGTAATGCCAAGGGATAATGTTGAGCAGCAACAAATTGCTTATTGGGTGTCTGACTCCTAGCAAACTGGGAATGTTTCTTTTTGTGACCATCCTAAACAGTGATCCATGTGCTGGATCTCAGGATGCTTCCAGGGGGCATATTTGAGGAGTGTAAACCATTTGTATTGGTTCACTGCTAACTTTTTATGTGCCAGTTACGTGTATGATTAGGGCCCTACCAAATTCACGGCTGTGAAAAAAACATCACGGACCGTGAAATCTGGTCTCCCCCTTGAAATATATGGTCTCTTGTGTACTTTTACCCTATACTATTCAGACTTCTCAGGGGAGACCAGTGTTTCTCAAACTGGGGGTCCCAATCCAAAAGAGGGTTGCAAGGTTATTTTAGGGGTGGTTGCAGTATTGTTACCCTTACTTCTGCACTGCTGCCTTCAGAGCTGGGTGGCTGGAGGGTGGCAGCTGCTGCTGAGGGCCCAGCTCTGAAGGCAGCAGTGCAGAAGTAAGGGTGGCAATACCACACCGTGCCCTCCTTACTTCTGCGCTGCTATTGGCACTAGCGCTCTCCGGCTGCCCAGCTCTGAAGGCAGCACTGCCACCACCAGCAGCGCAGAAATAAGGGTGGCAATACTGCAACCTCCCTACAATAATCTTGTGACACCCTCCTAAGATCCTTTTGGGTCAGGACCCCTACAATTACAACATTGTGAAATTTCAGATTTAATATCTGAAATCATGAAAGTTACAATTTTTAAAATCCTAGGACCGTAAAATTGACCAAAATGGACCATGAATTAGGTAGGACCCTATTATGATAAAAGCCAATCCCTGTTCACTTTATATATGGAAATAGTCTTGCTGAACTCAATGGCACTTTCATATGAGTAAGGCAAGTGGGGTTTGCAACATCTAAAACTACACCTATCACATATACCTGGCAAGATATAATGAACTTTAAACAAGGAAAAAGGTGTATGTAACTTCAAAAAGAAATTGGGAGTGGTAGTTTATTTGCATTGCTACTGTGTTAAACATGAGTCACCTGAAATTTACTGCATATCAGAGTGATGTAAATGTCACGGATGAGGAAAGCCTCAGTTTATGGGCTTGTCTACATTACCCACTGGATCGACGGGCAGAGATCAATCTAGCGGGCGGTTGATTTATCGCATCTAGACATGATACATAGACTGCTGAGCGCTCTCCCGTCGACTCCGGTACTCCACCAGGGCGAGAGGCGCAGGCGGAGTCGACGGGAGAGCATCAGCCGTCGACTTACTGCAGTGAAGACACCACGGTAAGTAGATCTAAGTACATTGACTTCAGCTACGTTATTCACGTATTAGATCGACCCCCCCACACACCCTCCAGTGTAGACCAGGCCTAAATTTCCACCTTGACTGTATTCTGGAATGCAAATATCAAAGAAATGAAAGACATGCCACAAAGGTTGGCAGCCTTTGGTCTTTCTCTTCTTGAATGTAAATTGGCCATAGATGATGAGGAGATGCTGAACACCTTTGTTAGCTTCCGTTTAAACTATGTAATAATGCACTTCAGGCAAGTGTTGCTCACTGAGAATTACTGATTGATAATTGCAGCTGCTGGAGGTGAACAAGCAATGGGATCAACAATTTAGAAGTATGAAACAGCACTATGAAATAAAGGTAGGTTTGATTGTTTCTGTTGGGCTCTAAAAGTGCCACCAGCTGACAGCAGCCCCATCCTTAAAGACAAACTAGACTACAGGTATAATTTGAAAAATAACATAAAAACATTAGTGGGTTCTATGTCCACCCCCACCTCCTACGTAAAGGAAAAATTGAGAGTTTGAACATAAAATAGCAAGTAATGTGTATATGGGTTTTCTGGCAATCTGTTACTGGAGCTAAGGTTCAAAGTGGTCTTTGAAGTCCTGTGAGGATCATTGTGGTCATCAAAACAAGGGTCCTCCAGAAGATCATGAAAACTGTGCCCACTTTAAGCCATGCTTCCCTGAGAATTAATCTGCAGGTGTGCAGTGTGTGCCAAAGGCACTGCATCTGCACAACCACAGATCAAATGCCCCTGTGCCATCCCTTATGCTACCTTCTAGGTTGGTTTATGAACGACCAGCATGGAGATCCCCTTTTTGGTACACATGGTAGGGGAAGCTGAAGGTTGCTCCACTAGCTCTAATACCTGGGTGGATTTTACCACATGAGAGGCTATACTGTATAAGGAGCTCTTGTTCTTTTATTTTAAATAAATACTGTTACTTTTCTTTTATTAAGAATTTTGTTAAAACAAGTGGTAGTCTCCTCCTCCCTCCTTTCACATACTGGGGTATTTATGCCACAGACATTTCTTTTGAAAACACCATAATTAGTTGGCTAGCAAACTCGGCTACCTGAGTGGTTTCTTCTTTTAAGTAAATAATCATAATTTCCATCAGTGTCTGCCTCTAACTGCCTTATAGGAAAAAGAAATTCCCATTTATTTTTGTTTTCTACCAAAGACAAAATGTTGATTTCTGCCCCCCCATCAGCTCTATTAATAGACCACACTGTTCTTTTCTGAATTGCTTATACACAGAGAGAATACAAATGACTTGTCTCCATCAGTGCATGATCATTTTGCCCCCAGTTGGATTATGAGGCGCATTTTTGCAGAAAGAGCCCATGATGGGGAAGAAAAAAGAGCATTAAAATGGGAAATCTGTAGAGGGGCTGCTTCTTAACTGATGTAAATTGGCAGCTAAATCATTGGAGCTAATTGGATTTACAATAGCTGAGGATCTGACCCAGGGCCAAAGTGCTTAAAATTTTTCATGAGAGAGAGACCTGAAAAGGCGGCGGCGGTGGGGGTGTCTTATTTACGTACAAACGGTTCTGGCTCCTTCTCTGTGTCTAGCTGCGTACTGAGAGTAGAAAGGTTTTGAAGGAGCCTGGGGCATACCGCACCGCTCAGTGTCCTCTGCCTCAATCACCCCCCGTTGTGAGTGCGTGTGATCATTTTACAGCTTGCAGAAGTGAAAGCGAAACTGAGTGCATCACAGAGGAGTATCAGTGAGCTGGAGAAAGAAAGGCACCGGCATCAGCAAGAGTGTGAAGCAGCCCTGGCCAGAGATGGACCGCTTCAGGAAGCGGTAGGAGGATTGCACTTTACCTACTTGATTGTGTGTGTCCATAGAGTTACATGGGGTTTGCTCTAGTAAGAGATACAGCGTGGGATGAATTACACCAGTGAGATAAGACTAGAGTATCGGGTTCCTTGCCTGGTGGTGTTATGCTCCTGAGGAGGCGGCAGATCGGAGATCCATCTCTAGAAATGCAAGTGACTCCTTGTGGCTGTATCACTCCGGAAATTGACAGAGGGCTGATGAATAGAGCATTTGGGGCGTGGGGGTGGAAGCATACTGATATGAATTGTGCACCTGTCCCCTCTCAAACTGATCTGTAAGTGGGTGAATTTTCTTTATGCTCAATAAAAGAAAATGCTGAAAATAATCTCTCCAAACTGGGTGACTGGGCAACAAAATGGCAGATGAAATTCAATGTTGATAAATGCAAAGTAATGCACATTGGAAAACATAATCCAAACTATACATGCAAAATAATCGGGTCTAAATTGGCTGTCACCACTCAAGAAAGAGATCTTGGAGTCACTGTGGACAGTTCTCTGTAAACATCCACTCAAAGTGCAGCAGCAATCAAAAAAGCGAACAGAATGTTGGGAATCATTAAGAAAGGGATAGATAAGACAGAAAATACCATATTCCCTCTATATAAATCCATGATATGCCTACATCTTGAATACTGCATGCAGATGTGGTCGCTCCATCTTAAAAAAGATATATTGGAATTGGAAAAGGTTCAGAAAAGGGCAACAAAAATGATTAGGGGTATGGAATGGCTGCCATATGAGGCGAGATTAATAAGACTAGGACTTTTCAGCTTGGAAAAGAGACGGCTTACGGGGGATATGATAGAGGTCTATAAAATCATGACTGGTGTGGAGAAAGTAAATAAGGAAGTGTAATTTAGTCCTTCTCATAACACAAGAACTAGGGGTCACCAAATGAAATTAATAGGCAGCACGTTTTAAACAAACAAAAGGAAGTATTTTTTTACACAACGCACAGTCAACTTGTGGAACTCCTTGCTAGAGGATGTTGTGAAAACCAAGACTATAACAGGATTTAAAAAAGAACTAGATAAGTTCATGGAGGATAGGTCCACCAATAGCTATTAGCCAGGATGGACAGGGATCGTGTGCCTAGCCTCTATTTGCCAGAAGCTGGGAATGGGCGACAGGGAATGAATCACTTGGTGATTACCTGTTCTGTTCATTCCCTCTGGGGCACCTGGCATTGGCCACTGTCAGAAGACAGGATACTGGACTAGATGGACCTTTGGTCTGACCCAGTATGGCCGTTCTTATGTTCTTACTGTAGGAATTTAGGGATACATACACAAAATGCTTAATGATAATTTAGGGTAGTAAATATATTTGTGTGTTTAACAACACGTTTTCAAATACATATAAAAATATTTAAGGAGCTCTTTAACTTACTACTGTTAGGCCCAGTCCTGCAAACACTATCTGGTATAGTGCTGACTACTCGGAGTAGTTCAATAGTATACACACTATGTGCTCTAATAAGTGTTTGCGAGCTCAGGTCCTGAGACTTGAAGTCAGGTCAGGGTTCTGTGTTTTTCATGCAAAACATGATGACATGAGACACTGACGCAGTTGGAGGAATGCATCACTTCCACTGTACCTGTATTAATGTTTGTTATTGGCTGCCGTAAGATAAACTCACATCTTTGTACGTAAAGCTTTTCATCTCCTCTTTTAACATTTCAGTAGTAGTCTCTAGTCTTAGACCCCGATTCAGCAAGGTACTGAATCATGTGCCTAATGAGACTAATCACATACTTTAAATTAGGCACGTGCTTTAGTAAAAGCACTTCCATCAAGAGTGTTTGTGCCCCTTTAGAATTCACTATCGACAAATATTTGAGGAATCCAGTTCACTGGCATGAATATGCACAGAAAGTGAATATCAGTATTCACCTCAGAAATTGCTCCTCTGTTATGTTAAAGAAACAATTCCATGTGATGTGTGTGACCAATTACAGCTAAGTGATATGGCTCCAATTTAGAATATTCTCAGTCAGCTTCACAGAACAAAAAACTTTAAAAAGAGATTCCCTGAGTGCAATTGAATAACAACTAAAACTGAGGAACTTGCATCTGCAAGTGGCTGCTTCATGTTCAGGAAAAACAAAGCAAATACATTGTTTCCTGTAATCATTTGCTTGTCTTGCATTAACTTAGGCCATAGCAGTCAGGAATGCAGAGCATGATCTGCAGAGACAATAATTGATGCTGCTATGAGTTACACAAGTGATTCTCAAACTGTGTTTTGTCAGCCACATAGAGGTTGAAGAACAAAACAATTTGAGAACTAAGGAAGGCTGGTCCATGAGAGGATCTTTCTCTGATGAAGTGGTCCAAAGAATGAAAGAGCTGGAGAACCATTGGGTTAAAGGATGTACAACACAGTACCACACAACTTGGCAACATCCTTCATACAAACTTCAGATCGTCTGCAGAGTTAAAATAAAACACGCATAAAGATAGTAGAAGGAGAGTAGCATTAAAAGGGTGTTATCCAGGGACAAAAAGATGTGTTTTTCCAGTGGGATCTGAAAATGCATAGTTTGATAAGGCAAAGAGATGAAAGGCTTTCCCAGATTACCAACAGCTGCAGAAAAGATTCAGAGTAGCAGCCGTGTTAGTCTGTATCCGCAAAAAGAACAGGAGTACTTGTGGCACCTTAGAGACTAACAAATTTATTAGAGCATAAGCAAGTGGGCTGTAGCCCACGAAAGCTTATGCTCTAATAAATTTCTTAGTCTCTAAGGTGCCACAAGTACAGCTGCAGAAAAGATTCTCAGATCAACGGTGGTGAGGGTGAGTGAAGGGACAGAGAGGAGGTTTGTGTTTACATGAGAGAGAGAATGAGGAGAAGAGCAGGGAGAGGGGTAGGGGGTCAATGAGTTGTTCTGGAGCAAGTCTATGGAGGGTTTTAAAACAAGGATGGCAATTTTGAACTGGAATCTGAACTGAGTAGAGAACCAGAGGAGGTTGGTTAAATGAGGTAGTGATATGGTTATGTTCTTTTGTATGTGTCAGAAGGGGAGCCCCAGCATTTTGCAATTGTTGGGATCATGGGCGGCTCTATGTATTTTGCTGCCCCAAGCACGGCAGTCAGGCATCCTTCGGCGGCATGCCTGCCGGAGGTCCACCGGTCCCGCGCCTTCGGCGTACCCACCGCCAAATTGCCTCCTCCCGCGGCTTGCCACCCTAGGCACGTGCTTGATGCGCTGGTGCCTGGAACCACCCCTGGTTGGGATTTAGGAATGGGGGAAGCCTTAGAAATAATACTAATCGTCGAGGCAAGAAGAGATGAAAACATTTATAAGGATTTTTAGAATTTTTATAGCTTAAAAAAACCCAAGCTCCAATTTACTCATGTATCTGTAATTAACTAATCAGGAGATGCTCTGCTAAAATTACAAATTGTTTTGAAGAAATTAAATGTTCCAACTAGTTTGGGGTATAGTGATGGAATGCAGCCACGTTATCAGTAAATGTAAGCCTGCAAAGTGCTTTTTCAGTGGGTGGATGTACACATTAAGATTTATTCTTTTTTTTTTTTTTGGTGGGCATTTTAATACCGTATATAAAACAGTAGCTGACTGCACTGAGGCACACCTGTTGCACATAAGAATGGGTTTTATGGCCCCCGGTGTGCTTGATCACAGTGGGTTTAGGTTTGTTATCGTTTGTTTCTTTATTGTCCAAAACGGCAGAACTCAGAAAATCTCTTAATTTTATTTTTCCTTTTATACAAGAAGTCCCAAGCTTTTAAAATTAAATTAGAAAAATGTCAAAATAACTCCGATCTAACTCAGTCTGACAAAAGCAGCTCATGAGGAAAGTTTTAACCCTTCAGAGCAATGTGAAGAAGCTTGTACAGTACTGTCACTCTGGGAGTTTGATACTGATCTCAGCTCCACTTAGCTGGTAAATCCACTCAGTAAATGCATTGAAGCCAATGGTGTTTTACAGTCAGACACCAGTAAGACTGTAGATGTGATGTGAAATCAGAATTGGACTGTATGTTTAATGTGCCAGTCATGTTAATCCCTACAATGCTATCTTAAAAATAACATGGTAAAAGTGCTGTCCTAATTAGGGATACTTTCCTTAATTGGGCAATAGTTAAGTGTGGTCATGCTCCACTCTGCATGATAGGGTGACCAGATAGCGAGTGTGAAAAATCGGGACGGGGGTGGGAGGTAATAGGAGCCTATATAAGAAAAAGACCCAAAAATCAGGACTGTCCCTAGAAAATCAGGACATCTGGTCATCGTACGCATGGCTAGGGTGGGGACAAAGGTAACTTTAAGCTACTTTGGTGGCTCCCTGATCCTGGAGCAGGCTGGGAGCTGATTCAGCCTCTCTTGCAATGTAGAGCAACCTCAGGTCTGCTCTTAATTGTCAACTATTACAGGACCCATTTCATTAGCCAGGGATTGCTGGAGCACTGCTGCACTCCAGCCTATGCTGCGGATAGGGTTGCAACTTTTTAATTATACAAAACCGAACACCCTTGCCCTGCCCCTTCCCTGGCGCTCTCCCCCACCCTCACTCACTTTCACGGGGCTGGGGCGGGTGGTTGGGATGTGGGAGGGGGTGAGGGCTCCAGTTGGGGGTGCTGGCTCCAGGGTGGGACCAGAAATGAGGGGTTCAGGGTACAGAAGGGGGCTCTGGGCTGGGGCAAGGGGTTGGGGTGCAGGAGGGGGCACGGGGTATAGAGTCTGGAAGCGTGTTTGGGTGCTGGACGGGGTTCCAACCTGGGGCAGGGGGATGGGGTGTGGGGTCTGGGAGGGAGTTAGGGTACAGGAGGGGGTTCCAATCTGGGGAGAGGGTTTAGAGTGTGAGCTCTGGCTGGGCAGCGCTTACCTCAGGCGGCTCCCAGTTGGCGGCACAGTGAGGCTAAGACAGGCTCCCTGCCTGCCCTGGTGCCGTGCCGCTCCTGGAAGCGGCTGCCATGTCCGGCCCCTAGGCAGAGGAGCGTCCAGGCGGCTCTGCGCAGTACGTACTGCCCGAGCCTGCAGGCACCGCCCCCTGCAGCTCCCATTGGCTGCAGTTTTCCGCCAATGAGAGCTGCGGAGGCGGTGCTCATGGCAGGGCCAGCGCATGGAGCTTCCCTGATCGCACCTATGCCTAAGGGCTGCAGGGACATGCCGGTCGCTTCTGGGAGCTATGCAGAGCCAGGTCAGGCAGGGAGCCTGCCTTAGCCCCGCTGCGCCACCAACAGGGCTTTTAACGGCCCAGTCAGTGGTGCTGACAGGAGCCACCAGGGTCCCTTTTCGACCTGGTGTTCTGAATGCCTGGCAACCCTAGCTGTGGACACCTCCTGTGCTGGACTTATTATAATGTAGAACTGGAGTAATAATCTCTCTGCAACCTCATCTGTTTTGATACCTGGCTTCAAGGTCCCTTTGTGCAACCCGAGTACACGAAGGGGTCAGAATCTGGTCTGGTATGTTGTCTTTTTTTTCCTCATCATGTGAGTAGTCAGCGCAGCGCAATCTCAGCACATTTTATAGTGTCAGGCTCCAGCTACCCACTATTTTTCCTGCTTCTCCATCCAGTAGTTTGGCACAATTCCTTGGAATAACAAAAGTGCAACATATCCGCCAGATACTCTGAAAACATTCTTGAAAAAAAAATTTCATCTGAACCTTATCAATATTTCTATATGTTTTTACATTCCAGAAAGAAAAAGAAATCCTAAATAAAGCATTGAATGAACTGAAGGAAGAGAACAAGCTCCTGAAGGAACAAAAAGCTTCAGTGACCAAAAAGAGAGAGTACTATGAATGTGAAATAAGTCGCCTCAACAAGGTATAGACAAAGAGAAGTATGAGATGGGAAACATTGCTTTAATATTTTTTGTATCTTTGACCTGAATTTATTTCAAGGATCTTTGCTGCCAGATAATGCCAGTGTGGAAGACCCTGAATGTTGAAAATAGCGTGCTCTTCTCTCCTCCCATATTACTCATCTGCTGTGTTGCTGTGGGTGCATAGCAGTGGAACCCTGATCACTACTAATCTGTGTGCCTTAGCATGGGAAGCTATGGTTAATGGAGACAGGAGAGGGATTATCTGAGCCCATCCTTACAGTCAGCTGCTGTTAACAGACAGTTGTACTAAGAAGGGGAATATAAATTTCCTATAGGCAGGCTTTGGAGGAAGTTTTGGCTTCTCACGCACACTCTTCTGTGCTTCAGATTCCCAACCTGACTCAAGCACCTTGTGGGTTCCTAGTCATCCTCTTGCCTCAGCAATGTTCATTTCTCAAATTCTTCTATCTGACATCGGCTGTCTCTTCCCTCCACTCTCTCCTCTGATCCCTAACCCATGTTGCCCCAGACATAATCCCGTTCTCCCCCTTGCAACATTACTCCATTCCCTGCTCAGCTTTATAGGGTAAAATCCTGGCTCCAATTGAAGTCAATGGCAAAGCTCTTTATTACTTCGGGACAAGATTTCACCACAGTCTTTTTCTCCTGGCACCCAACCGCCTTCCTTCTCTTGCCTTACAGCTCAGAATCCAAATCCTTTCCACCAGACAGCGCCCAGTGAAATTCTGTTTTTAAAAAGGGGGAAATGTAGTAAACGTTGAATCAAGAGATCACAGAAAGCAAGATGTGTTTTCTAACAATGTACCTCTTGGTAAACCACAAAAGCTTCCTGAGGAAATATGCTGCTCTTAAAAATTACTGTGACGTAACTTTGAATGATGCATAGGCTAAATTCAAAGCAAGGAAAATGCATGTTGCCTTGTAAAAGAATTTGATTGAACTTGTGGTTTCTCTAGCTGTCTTCAAAATGCATTGACCGGACTCACACAGGAACTTTGTGTGACTTCAGCTCCAAAGGCCTATTCATAAAATAATTTACTGGAACATATTGTTCTGTTTTGCTAGGGTCTTGTAGTGTGGTTGGGACTGAGGAGGAGGGAGGAAAATATTCTCATTTGGGAAGAGCTGTGCTACCAGTGAGATACCTGTTGCTCTATAATACAGAACTCACTGCGTGCAAGAGAGAATTGTTCTTTCTGGTTTACCTGGTATTTGGGTTCCTCTATAACTATTTCACTAGTGTACATAGAAACTGTTGTCCACAGTATTGCCAGCCCCATGCATTCAAAAATTGAGTTAGACTGCCCCAAAATAATGAGATTTTAAAAATAAAAGTTCTTTTTATTCACTTTGTTTTTTCAAGCCTTTAGAGTTCACATTTTCCAGCTTTTTCTCCACACAATGATGTCTAGAAACTTCCGGGGGGGGAAAGCTGAGATTCTCACATCATCACATGACTCTGGGACCTGGGTCTTTAAGAAAAGCACCCAATATCATGAGATTTGTTCTAAAATTACAAGAATTGGCAACTGTTCATAATTAGAAATAAAGAAATAAATTGATAAATAGAGAAGCACAGACTTATTTTGCATACAGCATAAAAGCAATTCTTTCAGATGGCTTGAGAAGCAGTGTTGCCGCATATTTTAGATTGTAGCTTAATACATAAACAGTAGATTTCTCCCACCCTCCTCCTCTCCAGGTACTATAAAAATGAGAACTGTTGAGGGCCACAGAATAATCTGTGAATTCTCCTACTGGATCAGCACAAAATTATTTACAGCACAGATGTGTGACTAATTCCGATATACTAGGAAAATTCACTAAGTTCTTCCAATTAATCTCCTCCACTTCCACCTATGTTTGTGGTGAGCTGATCTGGAGCTAGCACAGATCTGTGACATAAAGTATTTTGGAATTGTTGCCACCTAAAAAACTAATCGAAGTTTTTATTTTAAAGGTGTATATAAAGTCAGCAGAGTTAAAATGGATATGACAAATAAGCTTTATAAGCTTGGTGACTGATTTATTAAAGGAGACCGAAGACATAAAATTCAGTGAAAAAAATCAGAGAAATGGGGAAACAATACCTCATCAAGGAACAATGAAATAGGCTCATGTTTGAATCAGAGAGCCTGAACCACTGTGTGCAAGTATATTGTCAACAAGGCACAGGTGTATACCACATGGGTAAGGGGGAAAATAAAACCAGATTTCATTCACATTCATCCCAAGCAGCTATACTTAACAATCATATGTAAAAGAACGGGTTTGACTGGGAACAGACCAGGAGAGTGTTTTAGCTTTCAAATGTGTTGTGATTCCATTAAGCTTTACAAAGTCTCTTCCCTGCCTCCCTCTACCCCATCCCCAACTTGTAATTAAATTTTATTTTAACAGGAGTATATCTTGCAGATACACTTGCAGAGAATTAGGACATACTGCTCCGGTTGGGCTGGGGGTTGCCATAGATATTTGGCTGTCCGTTAATTTTATTGTTTGTACACAGTAGTGAAATATCATTTCAGAATAGAATGGTCCAGAATAACTGTAACTCAGAGGAGCAGGCTGCCCCACTAAGTTTGATACTGTACAGAGAATCTACAAGTTGACCAGCTGAATGCATTTTTATACTCTCTCATCTTTACATCCAACCTCATTCACACAACCCTGCACATATATGTGCCTCTCAAATGGCACAACTATTAGGACAGTACTCAAGGTAGCTCAGCAGTTTGGATTAGATTAAAAATCCTCTCTCCTCTTTCAGTTTCCTCCTTGGGAAGCTATAGGTTATAACTATAGTTTTACTGTCACTATTTCATGGAAGACAAGGCACATAATACTAACCTTCGGGTTACTATGGCCATCCGTGCTTTTGGAACTCCTTGTAACTCCTGCTCTGCCCACCCTCTGTCTCTCTAAGGGTACATCTACACTACAGGGGGGAGTCGATTTAAGATACGCAAATTCAGCTACGTGAATAGCGTAGCTGAATTCGACGTATCACAGCCGACTTACCCCGTTGTGAGGACGGCGGCAAAATCGACTTCTGCGGCTTTTTGTCGGCGGCGCTTACTACCACCTCCCCTGGTGGAGTTAGAGTGCCGATTCGGGGATCGATTGTCGCGTCCCGACGGGACGCGATAAATCGATCCCCGAGAGGTCGATTTCTACCCGCCGATTCAGGCGGGTAGTATAGACCAGACCTAAATCAGTCTTCCCTCCCTTATGACCTTGTATGGGAGCTGGCCAACAGGAGGTCACTTCAGATGGACTCTACTGGGCATTCTGAGAAAAATTCAGTGACATCCACATCAGGGAGTGGTTCCTCTATGAACTCCTTGGGAGCCTTTTGATAGTTGGCTGTTTGATGGTAACTCTAAACAGTTCAGACAAGGGGCGGAGTCTGAAACAATTACCAGGAATTATATCTTTTAAAAATGCATAATGTTGAGACAGCCATGGTCTCCTTGACAGAGGTTGAGATGGGACGACACCAAATGGCTATGTCAGAATAATAAAGGAATGTGACATTTGTTAGCTGGTGATAGAGTGTGAGGAGAAACAATCGTTTTAAGATGATTCCAAACCTATGAATAACTGGAATACAGTAATCTCAAAAAAATAATGTAAGGGAAAGTAATGCAAAGTATCATAGCAGGGTTGGATTGAAAAGCAGAGCAACAGTAATACAACGGTGTAGTGTGTGAAATCATGACTCCCTCTAGTGGCTGGCCATACGGACTATGCAACCTCCTGCATGCCTAAAGCTAAAGGATTTTGAACTCATGCAGTAGAAATGTGTACTTTCAGTGCTTAAAGGTCTTTGGTTCAGTCCCTGCTGTAGCCATTATTTGCTAGATAATGGCTAAATGTTTTTTTTTTAAATCTTTAGTTTTGGGAACCCATCTTTAGGAACCTACATTTTTTTTCAAAAGTTTCTCTAGGCTTTCCAAAACTCTGATTTTTCACAAGCAAAGGCATTGGTAAATGTAAATTGGATGGACCTGCAATGGCTTGATTTGCAATCTAAGCACTGAGTCTCCCAGAATGATAGTGTCCCAAACCTAGAAGCTGGAATGTGGTCACTTTGAAAATTTGGGTAATTAAATATTAGTCGCACAGTTTATACACCACATGAACTCTGTGACAATTATAAATGCAGTCAAAAGCAAGTCATGACTTGCTTGAATCTGTTCAGTCAGAGATGCCAACATTGTAATGATTAAAAAGGAATTCATTTGATGTGGTGAATCCATGTTGTTGCAGGCCCTTCTGGATGCACTGCAAAAGCAACACCCGTCCGTTTTTGTGCCTCATTTGGATAAGTCTGACAGGAACTGCAACCATGAAGAGATGAGGACCCAATTGGAAGTTCTCAGACAGCAGGTGAGAATGCCTGGAAATCAGTCTGACTGAGTTTAAGACTGTACTATTTTTCCCCCTTTCTCCTAAAAACTGTGTTCTTGTTAACTTGTTATCCTGATTTTGAAAGGAGGAAGCAGTCTGGCTTTAGTCTAGTCCAGATAAAATGATGCTTCTAAGATCCTGTTATCGCAGTGGTATGCATTGTCATAGGATGAAATTCAGTCCTGAGGACCAGCACAAGGTCTATGACCCTGTGGGGACGGGGATGTGGGCAGTTAGACCTAGTGGTCAGAACCAGGGTCAGAAGCCAAAAACCAAAACCAGAGTCAGAGCTGGGGTTTGGATCACACCAAAAGTGGATCCAGAATCAGTATTAGGAGTCACACTGAGGGTCACGACTGGAGTCATAGTCAGAGAGCTGTGCGAAGGGTCAAGCTGAAGCCAAAATCAGAGCGTGTATCGAGGATCAAACTAGAGTCAGGGAACAATGCCAGGGTCATACCAGAGTCAAGAGTTAGGGTTCAGTTCAGCAGCAGATCAGGAGTTTTTTCAGTTGCTCAGACAACTTCCTGTGCACCTTCTGGCTTAAGTCATGTGTCTGGGCCAATTGCTGGAGCTGGACATCTGCTTCAATCAGGAACTTCATGGGCAGAGCCTCTAGTGGTCCAGAGTCCTGTTAGATCCCATCCCTGCTAGTTCTGGAGAGCTGTCAGTTAGTGGCTGCTGTCTGGGCACTGCTTGGGGACATGGAGGCCCAGGTTTGAAATCTGCAATCCCTCACAGCATCACTTAAAACATCACATAGGGCTTATGTGGGATATGAGAAGGTCATAGGCATTGTGCTAGCTATCTGTACAGGGCTGAATTTTACCATAATGAATTATATATTTCAAGAGTTATTGATTAGTCTGATATTGATCTCTTGCATTCTGCCTGTCCTCATTTCTTGTGAGCTGGCACTGTATTGAATTATATAAGAATCCTGTTCTTGGAAAACCAGGATGTTGCACATCTCAGTATTCCAGTCTCTCAGAAGAATGATGCAGCACAGGCAGACACAAATCACAACCTGCATACTGGCTGCAGAGAAAACCTCATAGACTCATAGACTTTAAGGTCAGAAGGGACCATTATGATCTTCTAGTCTGACCTCCTGCACAACGCAGGCCACAGAATCTCACCCACCCACTCCTGTAACAAACCCCTGACCTATGTCTGAGCTATTGAAGCTCTCAACTTGTGGAAAACTCTGCTGTTGTCAGAGAAGCTGGAGGTTATCAGTATTTCAGTCATCGTTTTGAGGAATAGATATGATTTTCTTTGGTTTGTTTTCTCTCTATCTAGGAACAGGTCAGTTTAAACTCACCTAAAAAGTACCTATATTTTTAAATTGTAGGTCTGTCATCCTGTACAGTGTTAGGCAAAGTTATTGAAACACGAATAGACATGATCAGAAGATACATGGGATAAAATACTTGTTTCTGTCACGTTTGACCAGTTGAGCCAGACTTGACTCTCTAATATAATGTATGTCACATGCTGGGGAGCAGAATTTTGTACTGCATTGTGCTGTAATTAGGTTATTTCATTCTGCTAGACAATAAAATAGCGTACACCATTTCTCAAAATACTCCTGGGGGAACTGAAATGTAGCCGGTCAGTTTTATTAATATATGTTTCTAGTTGTAGACATCAGTATAGTCATTCTGGACCTTATACAACATGAAGGGGAACAGAAGACTTGTGCGGAGGAGGATAGGCGATAGGCATCTATATGATAGCATATCTCCATTGCTTAGCCATCTTTGGCCCATCCCTGGCTGGGACAGAAGGGCTAAGCTCTGAACAACAAGAGAGGAGGGGCAAAGGAAAAGGGAGAAGCAGGGGGGTGAGGGATACACAGTCTATGTAACACCCCCCCTCTTCTTCAGGGCACCAGAACTTATAATGCAAAGGGGTATCATAAGTCACTCCACCGTGAACTGTAGCACAATCTGCTGTCCCAGAGTTTTAACAGATCATGTGGTTACCTGGCTGTCAGGGTGAGCATGACAGGACAGATTGCTATACAGCTGATGCTGTGGAGGGGTGATGGTTGATCATAGATGGGCTGAAACATATAGGACATGACTCTCTGCAGGAATTATTGACTGTGCCTCCTCCCAAGGTGCTACAAGCTGACACTGGGCATGCCTCCTTGAGGGGACAATGTGGTAGAGCTGACACTCTGAAAAGGCCTTTTATGCATAACTTTATGCAGAAAGAGAACCGATAGGCCTACATGCACTGGCAGAAGTGTCTAAAGAGTATTGCTGATGTTGCCAGCTATATATAGGTAATGTAGATAGTGATTTACAAGTTATCTTGTTTCACTTTCTCTGGTTCAGTTGATGGCATTTCTTCACTGAACCAGAGAAACAGCAGTAATATTAACTTGTGACGTAAGTGCTGCATGTATAAAAATGCTGGCTGGTTAATAGCAAAAACATTTTTAATTCATGGTGCATCAGGTAAGGGATCATTGAGATGCTTCATAGGTCCCAGCTTACCTCTGGCCCATCATTCTGTTCGAGTGATAAGCTCAGTTTTATATATCCTCATGTTAGCATTTCAGGAACTATCCCTTGCAAGGTCCTGAATACCGCCGGCAAGGTAAGAACCAGCAGATCCAGCAGTGGAAGTTGAAGATGCTAATCATTAGAGCTGGTTGGAAAATGGGGAAAAATGTAAAATATTTGTATCTTAAATCAGCATTTGAATCATCTTGAAGACTCCACACCCTTAATATTTGGAATCTTAGTGCTAATCACGTCTAAGGCAGTCCCCAATAAAGCCATTCAAATATAGCAATATTCCACAAATACTGAGATTGTGAATTATTTGTGAGTGGGATCACATGCAGATAAACAGACTAAAGCTAGAAAAAGCATGGAAAAAATGTTGAAGGTAGATGTATAATAGAAGGGATCAGTCTAAAAAGTGCTCTGTAAATTAGCAGTTGCTTGTCGCTTAATTTGTAAAAATGACACAGGAAATGATCATGGTTGTAGAATTCCAGTGAGAATTGCCTCTTAGGATGAATTCTGTACATGTTTGGAATGTGTTTAAAAAACAAAAAAAGAGTAATGGAAACATTGGATCACTGTAGCACTACCATAATACATTTCATAAATAATATTAATAATTTCAGGTACAGATATATGAAGAAGACTTTAAAAAGGAGAGATCTGACCGAGAAAGACTTAATGAAGAGAAAGAAGCACTGCAAAAACTTAATGAAAGATCACAGTCCCAACTGAACAAGCTAAATTCTCAGGTATGATTTAAAGAAAGTTGCCATTGCCAGCACGTGTGCATTTTATTTTTATTTTCTCACTTTCCATACAACCCAAGACTTTTTGACTTCCTTTAATTGACATTGGATTTTATTTGAGGTCACCACGTGGGATGAAATCATTCTGAAGAAATGTTGTAAAGAGATGAGAAATTATTAGAGACTTCTTCCAAATTAAGTAGATGGAGTGTCTATTAAAAAGGCTGTTCAATATCTCTTAAACCACAGTTCTTTTGTCTTTCCCTTTTTATTTGTTTTGTTGGCATGCACTTGATATAAGAAAAACAGCCTCATCCCCAAACCTGGAAATAAAAAATGTGTGGCGCCAAGTCCTGCTCTGTTACGGTGACCTGTAACTGTCTGAAACGGTGGTGTTACTCCAGAGCAGAATTTGTCCTAGTTCAGATTAATTGAGCAGTCTGAACGGAGTCATTGGGAAATCCTTTTTTATCTCCAGTGTGATGTCAATGTTCTGAGATGGGAGAAGCTGAAATGAAATCATGGCACGTACAAAATATTGAGCTTTCACAATCTCTTCTAAAAAATAATGAAATCGCAAGACTTCTCTGTGACAAAAGTTGAGCAACATTTTGCAATAAGTGGCAAGTCATTATGGAATGTACTCTGCTGTACTATCATCCCTCTGGACTTCCTGATTTAACCACAGAAGTATTAGCTGATTCTTAATCAACCCACAAAGCAGTACTGTAGACACTGGATTTTACTGTAGCATAAGAAGCAAGGGATTGATACCTCATAAGGTACTTGAGTGCCTCCTGGAGAGGTGTTGAGTGCCCATGGCTCCCATTAGCTTCATTGGGAGTTGAGGGCATTTAGCACCTCCCAGCAGGATATTCAGCATTGCACAGAATAAGGCCCCAAATGAGAGAATATTATTAAAGTTGTATGGCACAGAAGGCGGCATTTCATTTGAATGCAAAATTGTTAGGGATGCTACAAGTAGTGCCATCCAAGGCATTCAAGCACACGGGAATAGCATGGACATCCTTAGTATGTTACCCACTCAGTAGACATTGGGTATTTCTGTGGATGAATGACATTTTAATCAGCTTGGGAATGTTTTAAAGCATTCAGATGGTTTTAAAGCCATTTCTCTCATTGATATTTGTGCTGTGGTAGAGCCCAGCCAGGGAGTAGAAGTGGCTGCATAGAGTTTCCTTCCAATGGTCATAGGAGGGTGTGACAGCCCTTCACTTCAGTGTTGGGAGATCACTGTAAAACACCAATACGTGGGGGAACCACCTACTCCTCTCCAGTGATGTGATCAGGGATAGCAGAGGCATTCTGTGTCATGCACACACAAAGTAGTTTCTTGTAGATGGCCCATGAGCCAGTGAGGATCTCATCATAATATGCACATACGTGGGAGTTGTTCCAGCCCCAGTGCTGTAGGAGCGCCAGTGTATGTGTAATGCTTGGAGTCTTCTGTGATTAACTGACAGTTGTGTTGGAAGCAGCTTTGGGACAGGCAGTCAAGAGGGTTGATTTATCACAGTGAAAATTTTATTTCTCCACAGATAAAAGCATGTTGGCAAGAAAAGGAACTTCTAGAGAAGCAATTAAAGCAACAGGTGTGTGTGCGCCTCTTCAATACCTTGTGTTTTGCATTTACATTAAATGTTTCAAGGCTTCTATGAGCTAGTAGAGTAAATCCCTACTTCTAAGGTACTCATCTCTCCTTCTTAAGGGCCAGATCCTTCAGCTCTTACCTGTGTTGTGCCACCAAAGTCACTGGGACTATACGTGAGAGTAAGGGCTGCAGGATCAGCTTTGAAAGCATTCCATAATAATAAACTCATTGTTCCCCATAGAAAACTTTCTCTAAATATGTGGAGGTTGCTACAGGCATGCTATCCATTGAGCAAATTTCACTATATCGGAGTTCACTAGGGATTAAATTCACCCCTGTTTGCAGAAGCTCAGCACAATGCCTGTGTACCCTGTAAACCTCTCTATAAACATGTTTCACTGTATTAACTCTGGCCCAAATTCATTCAATAAAGGGTCTGTGATTGATTTGATGATATTTGTGAGGGTTCATGACAAGTTCTAGGTATATCAGTGCAAAGTGCTTATTTGATTGGGCCAATTTGTGAGGTGCTGACTCCAGCTTTTTTTTTTTTTTTTTTTTTTTTTTTTTTGCTCAGTCAGTCTGAGCAAAAAAAGCATATTTCCATTGATTTCATTGGGCTTCAGTAAAGCCTGAGTAACAGAGCAAAAACTGTGAGGACCTCAAGATTTGGCTCATTACTATCCATATTATTTATTAACCAGGTTCCATGTTAAGCAAGTCTGCATGTGGTTAGTATTGGTTGAACAGTGAGTGCTACTACATGAGATAAAAATGTCATTTGGTGCCAGAAAACAGTGCTTGCAAGGTAGATATCAAATACTTCATCCAACAGAAAAATTTCGATGGTCCTTAGCAGGATGTGCGGAAGATGCTGTATCAAGAGAGATTTATTTGTTCATCAACATTCAGAATAGGTTAAATTAGAAGCCTTGTAGCCAGTTATGGGTCTGGACCCTTCTTCACTATTAATGTTCAGTGGTTAATTTGTATTGGCATTCTGTTTGATCCACAGGTGCAGCTAGTAGCATGTTTTTTTAAAAAAAAAAAATTTTTTCCTACAGACAAAAGACCTCCCTGTGCCATCTGAGAGGTGCTGCTTCCCGCCTCAGATGTTCCTTCCATCTTGTGTTAATTATGGAAACTGTGGATTAGTTCTCCACTACCAAGACCCTCGAGTACATATGGCATCACGGGGCATGTATGATCAGCAACAGCACCCTGTGAGTAGGACTTCTGTCAATTATCATTTTGCAGATCTTAGAACATGGCAACCTTACATGAGTGATCCTTTCAGTGATTCATTCCACCCTCTTCTTCAACCAGCTTGGTTGTCTCTCAATCCATTTCAGGATCCAGATGAAATGTTTCCTCTGTGTTTTCAAAGCTGTCCATGGACTTGAACCAGCCTTGCGCCTGATCTCTGCTCAGTCTCTCTCCCTGCCTCTCTCCATACAAATCACCAGTCTTCATTTAATAAGTCCTGCTCTGTGAAATCTAGACTGGCCTTTGATTCCGCACTTCTTTTCAAGCCTCATCTGAAAAACTCTTTTCTCTCTTTGATGTTTCTGTTTTCTCCTATAATTTTTCATGTTAAATTTGTAACTCTGGTCCCACTTTCCTGCCTCCTGCAGATTTTCCCAAGAAGTGGGCTAAAGAGGAGGGAAAGTCCTTACAGGGATTTCTCTTCATTTCTTGAGTGTGCCCGAATGGTGCTGAGGGCGAGATCAGTCCCTGCAGGGCCCAAAGGCTAAAAGACATCTTTTCTCCCCAGCCTTGGCTTTATCTCAAGTGCTGTCCTGAGCAGATCTCTGACATACTTACATATCTCACCAACTTGATCTCATTAAAACTGACCCCTGTAGGTTTTGTACAATTTATGCTTTCTCTGAATAGAGAGAAATAATTAAGCCTTTAGAAATTCATTTTATATATAATGTTCCTAAGGAAAAGGGGGTTATTTTACATTTGATTTAATTAGAAAATATCTAATAGTATTGAAAATAAATTTTACGCAGGAAGTTTGAGTAGACTTTTTCACTATTATTTAGATCAACTCAGAATCCCATCACAAGTCATGTCTCATTTCTACAGTACAGCATGGTTAACCTGTATTCATAAACATGGATTTGTTCTATGAGATATGTAGCATCTCTGGGCATTCAGAATAAATAATAGTGACAACAAAGGTCCAAATGCTAATCCTGTTAAGATCAGTGTGATTATTTTCTTGACTTGTATGAAAGCAGGAGTTGGCCTAAATAAATATTTGTTGAATATGATGTCAAATTTTCCTGTTGTATGTAGTGAATCACCATATTTATTTGGACAACCTGCTTGACTCTCGTATGGTTTTGTCATTCATGAGTAATGTAGCCATCCCATAATTGGGATGACTTTGTACAACACTGCACTATCATATCCTCTCTATGTAGCATGCAAACATTTCTATGCAAAGAGATGAACTAGTAGCAAGATACATAACTATGCTATAAAGCCCGAAGGGCCAAATTTTGACATCTTGATGCATATTTAGTAATATCTTGCTCCAGGATAGCCGTGTTTAAATGGGACTACCTGAGGATTAAGTTATTACTCAACATGAGTAAGGGTAGTAGAATGATTTATGAAAATGTCATTTTTCAAGCAAGCTTATTTTATTGTAAAACAATATTAAATTACACTTTAAACAAAAAATTAAAATAAGAACCTACTAATTTTAAAATCCTATATTTATGCATATAATGTTACGTATTAAATGTATTATTCAGGCAATTATAGCTTAACTTTGCAAAATGTGTTTTTTATGCTTTCAAACTTAAGAAATCTGAGGAAAATTGTGGGGAAGCAGGTAATTTTTTGTTAGAAATACACTTATCATTTTGTTTATCAGAGTTTGAAATATTGTAAAATGTTTCTCACTGCAGTTTGGAATCAGTCCCAGATTATTTTGGCTTTCCTCCTTGAGCTTTCATCATCTGTGTTTCTAATTGTACCAGAAGGACTCTCTGGGTTTATAAATTTTGCCATTCCTAAAGGAGTACTGAGGAGGTGCAATCCATTTCTGATTGTTGCTTTGAAGTTCCCAAATTTGTTTTTTGAGTTTTCTTTGAAATTATTTTCTTATGTGAGCATAGTGTTGCTCTTAGCTCTTTAGCTCCCTGAGCAATTTGTCAGTGAAGAAGAAATGTGTTAGGATTTAATGAGTGTCTTGATTTAACAAATGTAATACTGTGCATTTTACTCTGTGCTTCTGAATTTTCACCTTTTCTGCATCTCACTTTTTGTTTCTATTGAAATTTTTTAAGGAAACTTTTATATTTAGTTTGACTTGAAATGTATCTCTTTTCTGTCCTTGGATTTCTTTCAAGACTGTAATATGAGAGAAAAGAAGTGGTAATGAATTAGAGAACTGCATGTTTATTATGAACTGAATAGAGCAAAACACTTAAGCACAAGCTTAACTTCTTGAAGTCGATGGGATTGTTTATGTGCTTAAAGTTAAGTGTGTACATAGGTGCTTTGGCTCAAATTAGTAATTCTTGTGTAAAGTATAGAACTTCCAATTGTAGTAAGACTTCATTTTCCTTAGGCTTATGGTCACTTTTTGAATAATGTTACATAACTGCAAAAGGATTTACGTTTTATTTAGCCATCATCCATAACAAGAGCCCAATCTTGCAGTTCTAACTTAGGCAAAACTCCTACTGAAATCAATGAAGTGTTTTCCCAGTGAGGATGGGTAAATTGGAATTCTTTAGGGGATAATGGGAATTTTGCCAGAGGGAATTCTGCAAAACAGGGACCATAGAATTCTCCCATCCAATTAATGAATTGAAGGTGGTGATGTATGGCATTTCATAGGCTTCCTTATCTGTCTGAAGCTAGATAGAAAGCCTGACACTACTCCAACTGAGGTTAAAGCGTTTTTTGAAAGTGCTCAAATGTATATGAGGGCTGAGTCCTAACATAATGAGAAAACAAACAATTTTATAAAATGGTCTTTCAGAATCAAATAGACTGGTAGTTATTTTCCACATTTTGCAATATAAAATAAAAAAATAAATTTCCCTCTCCTATGAGAAATGTGGAGGAATTTCCAGGCAATATCATCATTGTCTTGTTTGTTTGTATTACCATAATGCCTAGGAGCCCAAGTTATGGATCAGGACCCCATCTTGGTATCGTCCTCTTGTAGAAAGAAGAAAAAGGTTTTTTTTTTTTAAATAATTTCCCTGTCCTACAGCATATTCAAGGTGGCACATGATGCTATCTAATGCGATTGATACATTCATCTAACTCTATGGGAGGACAGGGGAATACACTTTTGAGATGAAGGGTGTTGAAAATGAATGCTGTCAAACTTTGCACGCTTTCACATTGGAACAGCTTCACCTGCTATGTCAAAGCATGCCATTCTCTTAGCTTCTTAACTGCTTGCATTGGTCCTAGTTAAAAATGCAAATGTTTATAATGTCTTCAGGTCCATTTCGTTTGTCTCTGTCTTCTCATTCCCTCTCTACAGTGTTCATAAGATTGTTGAAAATCTGATTGATGTTACTAATGTTGGCTTTGATTTGTGGCATTTAGAAAGGTTTATACTGTTCACAGCATTCAAACACATGTTAGAAGAAGAAAACAAGCTGAAAAGCTCAATCAGTAGAAATTTTGAGCCAAATCTAAGTTTTTTTTTATTTTTTTGTTTTTTGGTAAATTACTTTTGTATGACTAATAAAAAGCTTCACAGCATAATTATATTTTTAACATACCACTGTTCTTTTGTTTGAAGTGTCTATGAAGTCCATATTGCTGTAATAATGTTTTATTGTTCTGTGCAGCCAGACTATCAATGGTATGTTCCGGACCAGTTTCCGCCAGATGTGCAGCACAAGGCAGATGGTAAGACAACAGCTGTACTGAACATACTGTGAATTCATTTTTTTAATGAGGCCTTTTTAGTAAACTTTCCTATATAGATAGTGCATTCTTACTTTAAGGCTCTACTTTATAAGGCTGCAGTTGATATACAAGACAGAAGTTGTAGGTTCTACTGGGGTGCCATCTATGATACAGGTTTCAACTTCATTATGATCCTTAAAACATCTATGATCTCTTTTATAATGCATGTTACAGAATTGTATAGATGCCCCATTGAATTCCCAGTAATAATCTTTAAAGAGAGGCTATCCTCAGAGTTGACCGTTAGAGCTTCTGGTGCCCCCGTCGAGACTAAATAAGAATAATGCTGAACACGGGGTGAGAAATGGAACAGGTTTTAGCAGTTATCCCTGTTAACAAAATTTTTTCCCCACTCCATAGAATTTTTTCCTCACTCCATAGAAAAGATGCAAATTGAAATGCCTCTTCTTGTTGGATTGAGTGACAGACATTGTTAACATCAACTGATGCACAAAATCAGGAATCTAGAGGCCTAGAACTGTGCCCTGAATGGTTAAAGATGCTAGGTACTAAGGCAGTATCAATTATTAATGACTCTTGGAGACAAATGAGCATACAAATTATTTACAAAAGATTAGGCTTGCTATGCAAAATTAGGATCCAGGTTTGAAATAACACAAAGTTGTGGGCGTATGAATTTTGGTTCCGACCATTATAGATACTGGGGTGGGGAAGCTGGGGAAAGGATATTGTTTTGAATTCCAAGTCCCTTTTCCTTCCCCTTCTCTTTGGAAACTTCTCCTCCTCTCCAGTTTGGGGATTTTGGTGTCAGCCAGGGTTTTGGGTCTTGCGGTACTCTAATCCCCCTTTCTTCTAGATGACCTCTCAAGTGACTTATGCTATCCTGAGTTGTGAAGTTAAATGTATAATGCTACGTATTGCATGGTATCACCATACGTATCATTCTGTAGTGGGTATGGATACTGTATATAGTGATAAGGAGTTGTTATTGAGGCTATCTTGTGCAGCATCCAAATGGGAAGCTATATGGCCATTTCTTCTCCAGCAGTTACATGTAGGAGATGCAGTACATGAAAATAGCACTATCCTTTAAAATGTATGGACTAGTCCTTTAAAGACTGAGGCAGCCTGAGGTTCTGGTGGGGTGGGAGGGAATGCTGGGCCCAGGGCAGACACCAGGAAGATGGAATTATTTTATGGCTTCTTCCCTTTAAGCCCATGGGAATTTACTGCACAAAAGAATGCCTATGGTGTCATACCCATGCCCTCCATGTTGTGAACACATGAGAGTGGAGGTTGGGAGTAACTGCAGATGCAGTTCTATGGTAGTTTGTCTCTATTAAAGGGTCTGAGGAATACCCCTATTTCTCCCTTTATGTGTCCTTGAGTTTGCTTCTGACTCTCCCACGTCTAAAATGTTCTTTTAAAGCCAAGCTCCCTGTATGTTCCACCATTGGTGGTGGACAGGGGCCAAGGCCACCCCCTTCAACGGGACAGTTGGAAACTCAATGAGTTGAAACATACAAAGAGTTTTCACTTTCCCTCCTTTTCTACCCCCAGCTATAGGAACCCATGCTACATAATTTTGGCCCATAGTATATAATTAATCCGTAACATAGAGAAATGATGTTGAGTGTAGAAAGGGCTACACTGAGCCTTTGGGGGTTGTATTTTGTTTTTACTAGTCAAAAATTAGCCATTAATCTTAAGGAAGCCCCAAATTTTTAGTACACTTATTAAAAACTGATTTTACTTAATAACAAGAGTGACTAAAGTTAAAGCTAATTGACATTTTTTTGAGTTTTGGCAAGACTTTGAATTTTGAAATTCCAAAAATAAATGGGGGTGGGGGAGAAGAAACCTGAGGAAACTAGGAAATGTTCACAACTTTCCCCCTCTGTCTTCTCTCCTTTTGGACCAGCTCTAACTACAATAATGTTTGTACAGTTAGTCATAGTGTAGTTAGCAGTATTTGAGAAGGATCATTTATCTTAGCTTGAATTTATGCCCAGTTAGGTAATAAACTGGCTATTAAATGTTAATGATTTTCTCCTGAATTAGTGCTTAAGTATGGTGCTTAAGCCATAAAAAAAACCCCAAAATTTAAACAAGACAACAAATCAATCTGTGATATCACAAGGCAGTTCTTCCCCCCCCCCACCCCCCCGATAAAGAATCTATCACTGGATTGATGTTATACGGCCAAATCCTTTCGTCTTCCTTACCTAAGCAATATTTCCATTGTCATTAAGGGGAAGTTTATTCAAGCATCAACTGCAGGATGTGGCCCATATATTTTAATGTCGTGACTTGCACACAAGTAAAATGAATCCGTGAACAAGTATTTATTGTAGTCGCTGGTGCTACTATATCTGCACATAATTTGTACCTTACATGTGTGTGTTTGACAAACAAACAAAGGGTTTCTGTCATATAGGTGTTTACTCTGTATAAATATGACTATAGGCAGTGTGATATAAAACAAACTACAAGATTCTGATCTACAAACCACCGAAGTAGAGCTACATGAAGAATGGATTTTTCCGTTCAGTGATGGTTCTGAAAAGTCAAAAATAGAGTAAGTTTCAGGTTGATCCAAAACCAACATTTTTTCACAATGTTTGGTAAATTGAAAAGTCTAAAAAATTTTACTTTGGGTCGACCAAAAAGTTTTATTTAGATTTCGAGCTTTTTTTGGTTTTGTTTATCATTTTTTTAAAAATAAAATTGAAGGAAATGTCTAAACGAAAGGTGGTTTTGACCTGAAAAATCAAAACATTTCATTTTGAAAATGTTGACCTGTTTCTACTCTTTTGGATTTTTTTTTCTTTTCTTAAAACCATCAGCTTGGTGAAAGCAATGTGAAATTGTAAAATGTTTTGATGTAGTCAAATCTCCACTTTTTTTTAAATTCCCCCCCTCCTCCCAAAAAACCCCAAACATTCAGCTGAAAAACTTTGCCCAGCTCTGTACTGAAATCAATGGGAGTCTTTATATTGACTTCAGTGGACTCTGGACCAGACCCTAAATGTTTACACAAAGTATCCTGTAGGCATAGTTTACTGTACGGCTCCTGAAATTGCAAAGGCATACATCACAGAGCTGGGAGGTAGTAGCCTGTACAACCACACCTGGAGTATTGTGCTCACTCAGTTCTGGGCATTATGTTACTGGAGAGACTGTCCTGTAGGAAAAGATTAAAAGAACTAAATATGTATAGCTTGGCTAAGCAATTGTGAATGAAGGTATACTTAATAGTCTATGTATCTAACCTAGCCTCTTTTCATATTGCTGCCACTTCCTCCCCCCCATCCACAGGGCCGGCGCAACCCATTAGGCGACCTAGGCGGTTGCCTAGGGCGCTGAGATTTGGGGGGCAGCGACCGCGGCGGTATTTCCGCGGCGGGACTTCCGCGGCGGGACCTTCCGCCGCTTCTGTGGGGGGCGGAATTTTGGGACGGGACCTTCCGCCACCGCTCCTGCCCATCCATCCACACGGCTCTGCCAATGGTGCCTCGACACCATGTTTTTCTGCTTCTCATGGGCACATCCTTTGTTTCCCCCTGTGTATGGAACCCCTTTTCTGAGCTAGTCTGCAAAGCCATTATACTCTCTCTCGTTTTAAATACTTCCTTAAAGACCAGCTGCTTCTGCAAAAGTCTGCAAGAAACTTCTGTTGTCTCCATGGGATAAAAACCTTCTATTGCTAAGTAACAACATAATCTTAGAGGGGTTGTTCCTGCGCCACTTCTCCTTATTGTCTTGTTAATCCCCGGGTCATGTCCTGTCCATGACCATGGTGAAATTCTAGCTCTACTGAAATAAATAGGAGCTGTCCCATTAGTCAACGGGACCAGGACTTCCTCATCATATCTGTTAAGAGGTACCTTGCAAATTTGGTGTGTTGTTAAAATAAATAATACATTTAATATTTGAAGTTAATTAACACCAACCGGGGAGGGTTGCGAGGACTTATTAGGTGAAGTATGAAGAAGTATAACTAGAAATAGAAAAATGTAGTGAAATTAGGAAAAGGAAAATTCCACAGAAACCAGAATCATCCCTGAAATATTTTAATGACCTGCAGAAATATGGAGTAGCATCTTTTTTCCTTCCCAATATCACCCTCATTTTCCTGTTTTTGTTTGTTTGTTTCCCCCCTCATCCCCAGGCACCGTGACCCTCTTTTTGTGCAGTTGGCAGAGGATCACTTACATATAGATCTAATCTTCAACGTTTGGCTCCAGAGCTGAACTTTCCCAAGGACTATGGTGGTTTGGATCTGGGAGGTTGATTTGGACCCTTTCTAATTTTAATGGTAATGAATACCTTCCTTGGAGCAAAGGAGGGGTGGGAGGAACAATGAAAACAAGAGGAGAGGGGAAATGCAAAGGGGAATAGGAAAACAAGGAGTTAAAGAGGGAAAAAATTCTCCTACCCATTTCTCCTTGAAAAAGCTTTCCCTCCAAAACCAGAATAAAACAAACAAGGGTAATGTTCAAGACAAACAATTTTCACATTTTTGTTTAACTAGAAATTCTTACTTTTTGTTTATAAACCTGAGTTGTAACACTAAAGGCAGTGTCATTTTAAAAAGCACAACAGCCCCAATGTCAGCTGTATTTCAAATTTCTGCAGAGATTACTGCAGTGAAATATGACTTTACGGTTGGGGATTTACAAACGGACAGAGCTTTGATTATTGAACCTCACTTATCGTTAACCTCCTGTTTATTTAATCAGGGTTTTATTCCCCGACTGTTTCACATAACAGGGTGTTTCACATAAGTGAGATTTGGCTATACTGTAAAGTGCCTGTTGCTCCTTAATGCTACTGCAATCTGCTGAACTAGTTGGTCTTGGGTAAGCTGTCAGTCTGTCTGTATGCTCTGCAGTCCTTAAGGACTTCAGTACATAAAGCTTAGTCCTGCTGAGCCAGCTGCCTGTATATGCCTTAGTCCTTAAATGCTTAAGAGCTAC